TGAGATTTAGTAATTGCTTACGAATACAAGAGCACTAGAAATGTTTCTGGTGCAGAGCAGGAGATATATGCTGGCAGTACAAGACAAGGTAGCAGTACAAGACAACGCGAAAATTTAAGGGAATGACCGTGGAGCCGAGAAACTTACTTCTTAGCTGGTTGGTTGCACTTCTCAATAAGAAGATCCCTTATTTTATCATTGTACACCTCTAACATGCTGACAAAAAGCTCGAATTTCATGATACTACTTCTCTGCTTAGCTGAGCTAAATAGTTTCTCCAATGTTCGATAGTTGACTCCTCTATTTTCAGGCGTTCCTTCCATTGTGAATGTCTTTCCAGTCCCAGTTTGTCCATACGCAAAAATACAGACATTAAAACCATCCAAAACTGAAGTTACTATTGGCATTGTTTCAGCAAAAACCGCCTCTGCATTGCAAATAGTGTGCAATTATATTAGCATATCATCATGTTATCTTTGAAATAAACCAAAACATTACTTGCTTACTAGAGTTACCTTGACCATCCTCAGGTTTAAAAACATGATCAAACCTGAACTGTTTTCTAGTAGAATCAGAGGACACAATTTGTATCTCATTTTCCTGAGATAAATCAAACTCTACCACAGATGTTGATCCATTTGCAATCTCATTAGGATTTAATGGTCGACACCTGCAGAAGACCCGTATATTTCCTTTCATCTCAATCACTTCATTGTAGAGGCGCTTTCTCTCCGAGCACTCATCAAGATATCTTTTCTTCAACAATTCATGTTGTGTGCCTAGAACCAGTTCAAACTTCAAATCGATGAACATGCCAAACCAAGGGCAAGGGATTTTATACTAGCCAACAGATTTGTGTATTAAAAAAAAGAAGCATACTCAGATCCTTAAGAGCTTCAAAGCTTGGAAAAGGATTTGCAGTGATATCCTTTACTTCATCTCGTAGAGCAGTGTGTACTCTTTTCAAATCCTACAAAGAGCACAAGGGCAGAAGTTATTGCAAAGAAAATTCTAGAAAATAGTTTTCCAATATTCACTTGTAACAAGTAAAGTCAGAAAGTCAAAAAACTTACGTTCAATTTATTGTTCAGGTTTTGAAGAACAGAAACAGTTTGTTCTTGATGTTTCTCATCTACTGAGTCACTGTTCACTTGTATTTCTGCATCAATTTCACAAAATAAAGCCTCTGTAACATATGATTCACAGCAGCTCAAATATAGACTTCCACTACACTGAACTACTGAAATGGTTCAGTATTTCTAAGTTCGACATCAAATCTAAAAACATAGAGCACAGAAATTAAAATTAGCTAACGTGAAAACGAATTTCATCAGATTTAAGTGAAAAATCACCTATTAAATTAATTACATTTGCTATGGAGTATTTCAATTCCTTAGTTCTAGGTTTCGACTGCTGATATTGGCAACAAACTTGCGTACACATAACAAATCCCGAGACATTAGGGCATTATTCAAGGGAAGAGATAAAGGAAGCACAAAGTAGAAGATCGTACAGATTTTTGTAGGAAATCACGAATGAAGGAAATTTCATAAACAGCTCCATATGAAAGGAATATCTAAAACACTGAACAATGAAATTCAAATTAATTTAGAAGAAAAGCATGTTTCCATCTGATAAGAAATAAAGTCTCGAGGAGTACCGCCCATTTGTGGAACGCAAGCGACAGAAATCGGAGTTTCTAATGCACAGGCCATGTCCGGCCGGGAAGAGACTGGAGAGGAAACTGAAAGCTTGAGGAACGCAATCTTCAGAAATCGGATTTCAGAATCACAGGCCAGATGCAGCCGAGGAGGGAGTGAAGAGGAAACGGGAAGCTTGAGGAATTTTCAAAATTTTGAAATTTGGTTGATCTGATTGGCTGTACGCCCGTAACAGATACTTCCTATATATGCCTATATTACGTAGGACTTTTTTGAAAAAAAAATACTCCTGAGTACTTCGTAGACGTAGTTTTTTCAGCTTTTACCCTACTACGCGACGGACATTTTTTGTACCTGCTTTTGAAAATGTTCACATTACGACTTTTATCAAAGTGACATTTTTTATTGTGCAATTATAATAATAATGACATTTTTAGTTCTCCAATTATTGTGTCAAATTTTTATTGGAATAACTAAAAGTGTCAATTTTATAATACTCGAGGACTAAATGTGCAAAACATTGAAGTCAAGGTTCAAAGTGTCTCCAGCACAATAGTCGATGATTAAAAACGGAAAAATTGACAGTCGAGTACCAAAAGTGTCACTGACTCAATAGTCGAGGGACTTAAAATGAAAAAAAGTCTACTTGGATTCACCCAAATTCACTAAAAATATTTTACCGAACAAATTACTCTAACTTATACGTAGTAAAATATTTTAAAAAATTCTTATATTCAGAATGTTTTTACTTGGATTGTTTTCAGCCCCAGATCAAATTAGATCAGACTTGAACATATCAGATCACATCAGATCAAACCAGACTTAAACAAATCAGATCAGACCAACCAGACTTCCAAAATTATAATATGACAAGAAAAGTCAATATGACAAACCTTTTCGTGACGGATGTAGTATGTTATTGATGGGTTATGGAATCCACTATACAGTGAGTGAGGTACTGAGGTAAGAGTATAATACTTCCTCCGTCCCATAAAATAATTCTCACTGGCATTTGGATTGGAGTTTAAGAAGGTGAGAAATTAAGTAGAAATGTATTGTTGTGATTGAGTAAGAAAAATGTAAATGAATGATCGCCACACACAACTTTCCAAAAAAATGTGAACTGTTTTTTACGACGGACCAAAAGCACCCGAAACTATCTGAGGGGTGGAGGAAGTATATAGTTAGAGAGAAAAACTAAGCCTTGAAATGGACTAAGTAACAATATAAAACTCAGTGCGAACTCTTTTCTACATGTAGGAAGTGATATTCATAGTAAGTAGATTATTTGGGGACGAAGAGAGCTTTGTGTTGATGAAGTTGAAGTACATCCAAAAAAACTATTTGTACACACCAAATCTATACACGCCACATACACGTCACTGGTGAGAGTATTTTTTTGTTTGTGAATACACTTTCCCAATAACTTTATATTTTTGGGAAAATGAAAATTAATAATCCAACATTTTAGCAGTCTTCTTACAATAATCTCATTTTTTCGTTATTCAAGAATAATCCAACCTTTGCACCCCATCTTCATTTGCTGGTCCCTGACCGGTTAATGATCTGTTATTCCAAGTTATTTTCTTATCTTTGCAAAATATTATCTTTGTGAAAGGTGAGATTTATGGTATAATGGTTTGCAGGGATAAGAAAATAACTTGGAATAGCAGGTCATCAACCGGTCAGGGACCAGTGAATGAAGATAAGGTGTAAAGGTTGGATTATTCATGAATAACGAAAAATGTGAGACTATTGTAAAAAGACCGCTAAAAGGTTGGATTATTAGATTCCATTGTTCATATATCTTTTAGAAATTTGATTAATTTTCTTTGAATATCATAAAAAGTTTGTTTATTTCTTTTCAGAAAGGGCCTTAATTCGAGGGGAACATTTTCCCAACTGTTTATGCCAAAATAAACTAATCTAAAATATATATGAAATTGGATTGGGAATCAAGCAATATAGAATCAACTATGGAAGAATTGGTAAAGAAAGGAAATTGATATATGATGATCAAGAAGAAGGATCTTCACAGTATGTCTTTGAATTACAATGTAAAGCCTGAGTGTATGTGTATTCGTAACTGAGTGTCTAGATTACATAGAGCTTGTACTATTTATAAGAGATGCATTTAATGCACTTTTGTCCGTTGACGACATGTTCCGACCGTTACGGCGACATGTTCCGACCGTTACGACGACATCAATATCGTCATTATGGCATCATAAATTCTGGTCAGCCCTTTGAGTAACCTATGTCATAACTACAATAATTACTCTAAATATATGCATAAAACCGCTCAGATTAATTAGCTTGCATTAATCCTAATAAATGCGTCATTAATTGCCATGGTCAAGCCTTTTTGAATGTAGTCCAAGCTGTCAAATCCGTGTACCAATACCAACAACCACAAATGTAGACTTCGTATGAAAATTGAATTTGATTGGATCATACTGGGCTAAAAAGAGATTGAAGATACATTTTGCATGACAATAGCAAGTATGACTAGAGTTTCCCCTATTGTAAATGTGTTTAAATCTGCTTTTTAAAACTGTTTTAGAGAGCTAGATATCTGAGTGTTTGATGAAAATGCACAATTATTTCTAAAGGCTCCAAAATGCTTCTAGAAGCAGTTTTTCTAAAACTCAAAAGAGACGACTTGATTCTAATTTTACTGTTTAAAAAAGCAGAAGTAAATCAAATCGAAACATCGAAACACTAAGAAACCGTTTGGCAATAATGTTTTTCGACTTATCAGACTTATCAACCAACATTTTCACCAAACACGTAACTTTTACTTTCGCGTGCTGAATTGTGTAATAAGCAGAAAAAGTAAGGTTGAAGTTACTTTTTCTGGCAATATTGATTGAAGTCACTGTAGATGACTATTTTAGTTATTTTTACATATAATTTTTTCTTTATTTTATTGATAAAACCTATTTTAAAAATAACTTTTTTAAATCAGCAAAATCAACCAATGCAGCCACTTCAACCAGAACTTTATAAATTTCAGCAGAATCAATCAAATCAGCCGATCTTCGTGCTACGAAATGGCCTTTAAAATTACTCCCTCCGTCCCATTTATATTGTCCCGTTTTACCTTTTCGGGAAGTCCCACTTAAATTGTCTCATACCATATTTGGCACAGTTTGTGTGGCTCTAAATCATTCTTACTTTATTCTTACTTTATCGATTACTATCAACCACACAAATCTACTTTTCTTAATAACCGTGTCACCCTCTTCCGGGACAATATAAATGGGACGGAGGTAGTATTCATTTTGCAAGTGAGGGAAGCTTCTACAAGGATAATAACGGTCAGTCAACAGATGATTCGTTCCACTTCATCCACAAGTTCACACCGCCTCAAAAGAATGTGTCGCTGCTAAGCTTGTATTACGTATATACCAAGTATTTCTTGTTCTTGAAAGTAGCTCGTTTTTTCATCTTCTCAGTTCTCCTTTCATTCTATGGCCGCTTGCTTATATTCATCGTGGTCGTGGTGCTCTCTTTCTGTTCCGAAACCCCCCTCCACCTATCTATCTTCTTCTTCTTCTCCATATCCATTTAATGCTTGTGTGCGTGGTGGGGATTCACAGTCAGGCTGTACAAGAGTCCATGCCAAGTTTGAGAAATTCCAAGGGCAAGAAAATCTCGATCAGGACTTCAGGGAGCCAAATTCCCTAGACTCCCAATCACACCCTAGTCCAGAAGAAGAGGATGACAGGTAAATTTTTCAAGGTTTTTTGTTGTGTTTTGCATAGTTGCCCGTTTAGTAAAGCTTGTATGGCCATGAATGATTCCAGGTCACCCCTAAACTATCAGTTCAATCAAATTGAAGTGTATGGTACATTATCAATCTTCACCAGAAAGTAGATTGCCTGGATTGTAATATGCAAATTCTTAAGCATGTATTCAAACTTCCAAGAGGTTTGTTGAGAACAAGATGCAATTGAATTGCCAACGCTTAGTTACATTAGTTTAAAATGTGAATGGGATCATCATTGAGTAGAGATATGGCGGTTACATTAGTTGCCCTAGTTTTGCAGCTGACGTTTTACACTTTGTTTGGTACTGATGAATTTAAGTAAACGTTTTTGGGTATTCTTGGTTAAAAAACCGTGCAAACTTAGATGAGCCGAAGACCAATACAAATATGTTATTTAGACAGTTTTTAGGTAATCTAGGTGAATGCTATAAAATGTTGTTTAAATAAAGTTTCTCTAAACCGATGCATGTTTGAGAACTCAAAACTTTTGCCAGCTCGGTTGGAAAATCTCCAAAACATGGTTTTGGAGATTCTCCGAAACCAAGTTTTCTACTAGTTTTTTTGTGGGTTCTCTTAGGCAAACCCATTTTTTTGCAAATTGCAATCAAATTACTTCCCAGGCATTGTGCACAAGTATTTTTTTGCCCACAACTTCTTTTTTGCGGACAACTTTTATCTAGTGTATACATTCAAGTTATCTTTTGGAATTTGTGCCAAATGATAAATCTATCTAGATGAGAGGAGGATAAATTATAAATATCAAATATCCTAAAATTTGACTTGACTATAGAGACAAGCTTAATGTGTCGTAAAAGTAGCTTTTCTCACATGATGTCATGTTAAACAATCACATATCTTTGAGAACCAACAGCACTAATGCCCATCATTCAAAATCTCTCTTTAGTGAATGCCATTCTAAAATAGAGCTGATATCAGAACTTTGGAGTCGGTATCAATAGATTAGGCAGATGTTTGATATGGTTGGGCAGTGCTAAATTAACTATTCCTTATGATATAGAGTTGAGAATATATTCTTTTTGTTTATAACAAAAAGTTTCTAACATGACAGTGTACTCAAAGAATTGCCATTAGTTTTTCTTCATGACCTTTTTGCTTTTATGTTCTTCCTAAAGATATCTCCACATCATAAAAATATTATACTGACAAATTTTGCTTTGTTTGATCTAAAATTGTTTACAGTTGTTTACCTAATGATTTGGAGGGTGCCATTCAACAGTCTGGCCATGCAAGTGCAACTTTTGTGTCTTCAGGGGGGATGAGAGCCATAGTATGTGCACCAGTATTTTCATTTTGATGAATTTCATCTGTTTAGTGGAACTGTTGTATAAACCTTTTAACTCTGCCGACATGCCAAAGCATTACTAGTTTACTACCATATGTTTTTCTTTTAAAAGAAGAATGCATAAGTCGTATTTCTCTGTGTAAACAGTATTATAACCATATATGCTGTTTTTCATAGTTTTCTCTTGTTACATGTTAATTTAATAAATTTGGACCCTCAACCATAGTGCACCTGAAATCTGGAAAGTCTAAGTTTGAAATATTACAAGTTCTATCCATATTTTTTATTTGTTACTTCTATGTTCATTCTCAGGTTGAACTTTTAATACCTCAGTTGCAATTTCTTGATAATGAAGGTGCACAAGCTGAACTCTGGGAGCTATCTAAGATATTTTTGAATACGCTGATTCAAGAAACTGGATCACAGGTGACACAGTAGTTTATAATTTAATATTAAACCTAATTTCCTGATGTGAAAATACATTTAATATTTCCACTCACAAATTATATCTAATATGCAACTTGTTATTGTATTTTATCACAAATAAGTGATACTAATGAAGTTTTGTTTTCATTTCAATTGCCGCTCACTTTGTTCGACTTTATAGCTTCTAGTTGTTTTAACTTTTAATTTCTCATTTAGTAAGATCTGAATCTTCTGTTTTTAGAGAGTTAAAGCGATATTTCCAGATGCTGGAGCAGCTGCACTTTTGAAATATCAGTGGCAAGATGCTACTTTTGGTTTTTCTAGGTAACTTAATCAAGCAAATGAGATTCTTTGGTTTGAGTTTACCAGTATTTCCATTATTGATATCAATAAGATTGAGTTTTCTTAAAAACTTCCTTTAGTTTCCGCTCATATATTGTCCATAACGTTCACCATTAGCCATAGACCATTGATGTATCTCCTTATTTATTTATACTTGATCTTTTAATAACGTTTTTTGCTATTGAATTGATCTAGTCTTGGTGACCGGAATCCAGTGGATAAGGAAGATAATATTATTGTCATGATTGTCCCGGATTATCAGATGTCGGCATATGTTGAAAGTATTGCCTCAAATCTATCACATGATTTGGTACACACACTCTCCTTCATGTCTCTCTCTTATTCAGTTTTTGTTAATGTTTATATGCCGAACCCTTACTTTTTAGTTTTAATAAATGCATACATTCCCAAATTTTTCCCTTGAATCAACTAGCACCTGAATCCCGTGTAGGTTTTGGAGAAGTTTATCAGGGTCGTTTATCAATTAATATTGTTCATCTTAATTGATTTGACTCTCAATTTCATCTCTAGCATGTTATTGCCCTTCTTAATTAAAAATATGGTTCTGAAGCAGACCAACTCCTAAATAATATGGGGTTTATTTGTTAGTCTAGGCCTCTAATAATGTGGAATCCACGCCTTGTTAGCGAAGATGTTGGTGTCGGATTCAATGTGCGCAGATTAAGGCGCAGCTTCTTAAGGTAACTTTTGAATATATTGATGTCACCATATTATATCATCTTCTTCTTCATCATACCCCAGTGCCGCAAAGGCTCTCACCTACGGTGGGGTAAGGGGGGTTGGATGTACGCAGCCTTACCCCTGTACTAAAGTACAGAGACTAAAGTACAGAGACTGTTTCCGGATGACCCATAGAGAAAATCGCGTCGAAAATTGCATGAACTGACTACTGAATATATTGATGTCACCATATTATATATTGATGTCACCATATTATTTCATCACGTAGAAATATTTAATAGAGCTCAAGCTTTCATTTGGAGAGCAGTGTGTTTGGAGAATTTAGAGAGGTGGTGGTAACTGGTGTGTTTGTGTGGGCAATTGGAGCAGAAGTGCGGTGAAAGAAGTCCATATCCATATTCAAGAATAAAATTATAGGGGAAGTGAATAGTGTAAAAAGATGAAAATGTAGGAGAGAGATGACTAAAATGTAGGAAGTAGAAGATTAAAAGTAAGGGCATTCATGTCTCTTGATGCATTCCTAATTGCCGAAGAAGGAAAATGGAGCAAGACTAGATCATGTAATGAATCTCTGTCTTCACAGACTTTGAACAGAGGGAGCATTTCTTACCATCAATAAGAGCATTGTTATTAAGTAATGAATCTCTGTCTTCATAGACTATTATCTTTGATCATGTTTGCAGAGTGTAATAACTGCATATCTTTATGTCTTTATTAAATGTCAAGATTTATATTGCAGCACCTTCACTGTTGTTTACTCAATGAGACCTTATCCATCTGGTGCTGTTTTTAGATGTTATCCTGGGTAAGGACTAATTATATCTAAATCTTGCAAATAGATTTGGCAAATTTGGTGGCACCTGTTGGTGTCCTGGTGTTTTTGCTGAGTTATAAGTAGTTTGAGAATTAACAAAATCTTATCTACTTCCTCTGTATTTTGCTGCAAGACAGATTGTGGAAGGTGTTCTATGATGATAAGTACCGGCCGAACCGATATCTCCTAGCGCAGGAACAGAATACCCGCCCCACTGCTGATGAGCTTGAGGTTAGATGCTCTGAGCCTTCACTTCTGTTAACCCAAGCCTGGTTATCTATTATGATCTTACAGATCATCATGCATTTTGAGGGGCAATATACATTGCTGTTTGTCAAAGTGCTCCACTAATAGATCTCATGCAAATCTCAATGTTAAATATAAAAAGCTACGGAGTAATTAGCAATCAATTTAGCTCAAAGAAGGGCTCAACGGTTTACTGAGGAGATGTTGGCGCCTCACCGAAGAGATGTGAACTGTGTTGTGTGTGTGTGTCAGTGTCACCATATACATCTAAGTTGACTCGTCCCATGATGCTTATGGTGATTTTACAATACTCCCTAAATCCTATTCTATTTTCCACACTTTCCTTTTTAGTCGATCATTGAATAATGTCAACTTTTCTACTTTAAGTCCTGCTAACATGTAGTTATTCCAATTCATCCAATGCTTGTTACAAATGCCTCTTAACTTTTTAAAAAATGGATTAGCAGTATGTTCCCCTATGTGATGAATGATATGAATGAGTCTTATTTTGCTCTTATACTATAGAAATTAAACTTCATGCCATGGACCACATGTTATCGTTAGGATTAATGTGCAGAACCACTATTATGATAAACATCTGGTTAAGACTTGTAGGACTGAATAAAACACCACTTTCATTTTTATACAAAGCTACTACTAGTATTTTTTTTAACCAAATTTGTCAATTAATTTTTCAACATAATATGACTAAGAAACACAAACTCCTTCACTTGATTTAATGCACTCTTGGAGATGCCCAACTATGAGAGTATTATTGTGTGGCCGCAATAAAAAAATAAGGGTTAAATTCTGAATGACATTCTTGAGACAAGATCAGGAGCACGATCGTCAAGCATCAACCCTATAGACCGTTGTCATTGTCATTTGTGTGTTGCTTTTATCCCACGCCAACACTATCATTGTCATGCAATTCTGCTTGTCTTATGTTTATAAAATATATACATATGCAGATAATATTTGGAGGTGTAGATGAGAAAAAAGAGAAGGGTACATCTCTGTTAGATCAAGCAGCTGGAATCTTCTCTTCCATGATCCGTTTCTTGAAATTAATTTCACGATAAATTAGTGTAATCAAGGAGCTGGCGTTATCATATTTTCTCCACTAGAGCCCTAGCTTGCACAACTTCTTCTCTATCTTGCAGGGCTGCACAAGGGAATGAATTTAAAATAATTTGCATTTATTAGATTTATACACTGTCGACTTTGTGATTTAAGTACTGAGACTCAAGTCCGCGAAGGATAAAAGGTAAACATAATGAAAAATAAAATTAAATGAAAATGGTTCGACGTTACCACTTCAACAACAATGTCATTTTGTGAATTACGAAGTATTAGATTATTTCATTGTTATATAGCTTTATTGGTAAATAGGCTGGATAAAAAGAAAAATAAAATAAAATGAGAAGGCAGAGAAGGGATTCCAACACTGGACCTACTAAAGGAAATTGATACAAAATCCAGTAAGTAAATAATAATATATTTATGATTAAAATAAAGCTTGTTTACAAAAGTGTGGCTGAAGTAGTAATGTAATCATAGTAAATTTTGTTCAATTTTTAAATTTAAGTTACCATGACACTACATTGTAGTAACTATTAGTCATATTTTTGTAAATAAGTTTTATTTTAATAATATTTTTTAAAGTAACTTGTTATATCAAGTTGTAGCAAATGAGGACTATTTTCAGCAGATGGTACTTGTAATAGGGATCACCCAAATTTATCGATAGTTAGAATTATTAATAGTGAATCAATAATAGTTGAAATTAGTATTTTCAATTTTTTCTTGGTAATTTGTATGCAAGCAACTTTGCAATTTGGTCCTACCTTTCTCAATCCCTACAAGAATGTATGTTTTGGCCGCTTGTTTAAAAAGGTTGAATCCCTAACTAGAAAGACCCTCGTGGCTCGGCGCGACAGCCGACAGAGCGTATAAAGGTAGGGGTGGGATCGGTCTGGTCTGGGTCGGGTTTTTGCTAAACCCGGAAATTATCCAGAAAGTCTCGGGTTATGAAAATTAAGGACCAGAACAAAGCCCATTAGATTCGGTCTGAGTCGGGTTTTTGGTAGCCCAGGTTCGGTCCGGGTTCGGGTTGGGCCGGTTAAAGCCCGAACGTGAAATATCTCATTATTCTTTTATATTTTAACACCTATTTTCAAATAAAATTAATCAAAAATACAAACCGCAAATAATAGCACAAATATTAGTCTCCAAAATCACCAACAATTTGAATCCAAAGAAGATAAGTATCTCAATATTTTATTTAAGATGCATATAAATAAATAATATAGGCTTCTTAAAAATATTAAGAAATAAAATTTATAGATAAATATGTGACTAGAGTTGCTATAAATATATTTTCATGGTAATTACGCTAAACAAACTGAACATATTTGTAGTCACTAAAAGTTACAAAATCATTTTTTTATCTACCGTGATTATGATCATATATTAGGAAATATTTATAAATTTATATTCATATATTATATTAATTTTATAGTAAAGCTAATTGTTTCAGGTTTTATCGATACGGGTCGGGTTATAAATATTAAGGCCCGTTAATGAGCCCGGAATTTCGGGTTCGGTCCGGTTTTTTTTTTAATTCGGACCGGGTAAAAAGAAAAAAAAACGGACCGGGATCAATATTCGAGTCGGTCCAGGGTCGGTTTCTGGGTTTCGATTCGGTTTTTCCCACCCCTATATAAAGGGTTGTAAATTATGGTGACCGGCTGACCATAGAAGTTAGACCGGTGTCCGCTGCGCACAATGTTTTGGCCTATGGCATATATAACTTTCACAGTTTCATGTGGAAGATTTGCTCTGTCAATCTTTTTTTACCATCAAATGCTCCAAAGTCATTGACCATCAAATGCTGAAATGCATGCCAAGACGGTGATACTTTTTTGTCTTCTCAAAAGGTCTTTCATACTTTTTCATTTATTGTTTTTTACTTGGAAAAAGGGTCACATAAGCCCTTCTACTAATGCAAAACCATCACTTAAGCCCTTCTACATAATAAAGTATCACTTAGACACTCTTACTATTGAAAAACAATCAATGAGACCATGTGACCTGAAACTAACAGGTAATAGTAGGTAAATGCTTTTTTTTTCTTTTTATTCTCCATTCTCCCTTTCCCAGTTGTCCCTTCTCAGTTTCAAAGTGGAGTAGCTCGTTTGTCTACTTTTTTTTCTTTTGTTTATCCTTTTCTTCATTCTCTCTTTCATTTGTATTTGCATTTCCCTAGATTAATTTATTGTCTTCAGTTTTTCTCTTTTTCGTTTATCATCTCCTTTTTCATTTTTTAATTATTATTCTTCTCCCTTCGAAATACTAAATGTTTAGGGCACACACAAAGGCTAAAATTTGTACAACTTTTATGTACATTTTCAAAATCTTTTGAACTGGACAAGATCGATCAGAAAAAATGATTTACTCATAATAAGTGCATAACACATACGTAAAACGTTTTTAGGCATGGACAAAAATTGTACTCCGTAATTTTTATACACATTTTCTCGATAGACATGCATATTTTTTATGTGACTTAATTTTAAATACATAATTATATTGCGAGTACAAAAGACAAGAAAACTTTCACTAGTATTCTGGAAAAGTGATGGACAAAAAAGTGATGTTATAACTTTTAGTGACTATAATGTATTCAAAGTTTACATCATAGTCACTGTTGAGGTTTATTCCTTCAACCTGTGGACCCAACACGTAAGCCCAAAGGTTTCGAATGGAGTGGATGTATGGTTATCTAGCCCAATAACTATTAGATGAATCAGGAAACAAGAGTAATAGCAGGCAATGTAAATAGGTATTATTAACTTCGTAATAACTCCCCTAAGTACAATCTACTTGCTAACAAAGGCACGTCGGCCGTTCGTCTTACGAGGCAGTTAGAAATGCTGCGAGTAAGAGTGCTGAAGCTAGTATGCTAAGAATAGAATGTTGCCAACCCTTTACAATGGAATAAATGCTTCTATTTATACCCGCCAATGGGCAGGTGGCTGTAGTGACGTGGCAGCCTGTGGACCGCTGGTGTCCCAACTACCAAATCTTTAGCATTAAATGCACTTCCCGCCAGAATCTAGGTTTCCCGCCGGATCAGTGGGGACGTTCGTCCATCGGGAAGTGAGTTGGATTGCTCCAAGGGACCCTTGGGAGATATCGGCTGTTCGTCTCCTGGCCTTGACAGATACTCACCATGTGGACTGGGTTTTCTCCGATGATTACAGGCTTGCTATGGGGACGTTCGTCGCCGTCCCTGGTGGCCCGTGGTTCTGCTCCTTATCCCTGCACAGACGTTCGTCGGGATGAGCTGCTGGGCCTGAGTCCCCCAACACTAGACGTTCGTCCATCCCCGTGGAACATGGGCCTGTGGGCTGGCCTAGTGTTCTAGCTGGACGTTCGTCTAGCGAAATGGGTTAGTGGGCCGGACCTCGGCTTGGGCCCTTAACCCAACACAAGTCCCCCACTTCTGATGTTCTGAGCATGCACAGGACATAAGGAAGTATGAACCCCTCCGAAGTAGACGTCCGTGTCGTGGTACTTGTTTTTATTGCACCTGGTGGAAGCATACGTTCGTGGTCATGGTGCTTGACAGCTGTTGACGGTTCAGGAAACGAGGTGACGGCTGATGTTGCGGCGGCGCATTTTCCCGAGGAAGCGTCATCATTACGTTCCCATCCCACGCTCAGCGCGTGGGCCGGAATACGCTCCTTGCCACGTGTCATCCCCTCGTTGGTTTCTCCATCGGTGTTTCTCCTATAAATGCCGGGTTTTCCCTCTAACTTAGGGTTCCCAATTTCTGCTCTCTTACCCTCAATTTTCCGCAGCTCTTCAAGTTTCCCGAATTCGGCCAACCATACCTTTGTAAGGTAATTTCCCCCCTCTTGCTAGATCTGAGTATATATATTTTTTCCTTGACGTTCATCCCCTGATCCTTATTTTTCCTTCTGTCATCCAGTCTGGGCTTCTAGTCCTTCAGGCTGAAGCTGCCAGGGAGGCCGATCTGAAGGAGGCCAAAGCTAAAGCTGATGCGGCCATCGCTGCGGCTCGAGAGGCCGCTCGCCGAGCTGAAGCAGAGGCTACGGCTAAGGGGAAGGAGATCGCCGCCCTGCGGGCAGAATCCCGCCAGCAGCTAGTCAGCCTTGAGAAAGCTGGCTTCAAACTTGTCCCGGTGCACCCTGTCGCGAAGGATGCGAGTCCGGAGTGGCTGGTTGATACCTCCGGCTACCGGAACACTGGGGAGTTCATGGACTCTGCCAAAGATTATTGTGCCGGAGTCTTCGCCGACTTGTTTGCCGCGGCTCTGGAGAAGATACCGCCCCGCCAGCGTCTGGCTCGCGGCGTCCGGCTGCTTGAGGGTTCTCCTCTGTCCCGCAAGTTCCTGTACGAGGTCGGTGACAGCACCTTCTCAGCCGGGTATAACGAAGGGGTTAAGGCCACCCTCCCCATCTTTTCGAGGCTGCAAGGGGCCGACTTCGAGCTGGCAGCGAATACAGACGACGATCTGCTGCTCCAGGCTCTAGGGAAACTGGCGAGGGACCGGCGGCGGGAGGAAGCCAAGGCTAGAGGGGAAATTCCGGAACCCCCGTCCCCCGAGCCCGAGGAAGAGGAGGAGGAGCTGAACCAGGGTGGCAGCCGACCGGAATCACCTTTCTTTGTATAATGTAATTCGTACTTTTCCATTCTAACTTTTGTAATGTCCGGCCGTCAGAGCCGAAGAATACAGACGCCCTTTTGCCCATAGTTGTTCCATGTTCATGATTTCTACTTGTTATTTTCCTTCCCTTTGTCCTCCGTTGTATGGAACTCCCTTCGGCGGTCAGAGTTCGAGAGGACGTTCGTATCCGTCCTCTACTTGCTTCCAGGCAAAAGCGTCCCGAAGTCAATCCTCCGTACGTATTCAACGCGTTCCGTCAATGGAGCGACGTTCCTCCGTACGTATTCAACGCGTTCCGTCAATGGAGCGACGTTCGTCCGTCAATGGAGCGACGTTCATCCGTCCTCCGTACTTAAGCATAGGAACGTATTCCTCAGCACCAGCACTTGATAACGATGTCCGCCCGTTGTCGCGTGATATGAACATTCAAACCACGCGCGGGACGTTCGTCTGTTCTGCGTGCTCATCTGACACGAAGTGTGGAAAGGCGACGTTCATCCTTTGTGCACAATCAATGGACGTGACTTTCACTTCATCCTTTTGTGCCCATCGTTTGTAGTATAAGGAATCCCTTCGGCACCTCGACACATCTTCACCGCCTACGCGGTCTCTGGTCAGTGTGAAGAC